AGCCTTCCTCTTCTTTGCCTGAGCCTACCTCTTATGTGCCGGAGCCCATCTCTTCTCATTGCAAGACGGCCTTATTCTGAATGCGAGTTGGCCTCTTCTGTATATGTAGTAGTTCCTTCTGAATGCGAAATGGTCTCTTCTGCATTCGAGGCAGCTTCTCCTGTTAATGTATTTGAAGCACCATGCACTCCTAAGACTTTGTCAGTGCCATGCATTCCCAAGACTTTGCTAGTACCATGCTCTTCTGAGACCCTGTTACCTCTGACCTCCTTTAACCCCTTCATGACTGAGCTAGTTTTTAGTTTCTGTTCCTAAATGACTGACACACTTTTTACATTTTTGCTGTGTGATTCTGTGATTCGTCCACAGCAGCAAGTTTTGATTATTATTTTTAGAATTTGTTTAATAATAATTATAGTATAAAAATATATTTATATATAAAAGTTTTATTTTCCTAATTTTTTGTACACTTTATTTATTTATTTTGTACACTTTGTAAAAAAAAATAAAAAATTGTCAGTTTATATCAAGCAATCACTATGACTGCTTAATAAATTAACTTTTGTTAAATTTTTAGTTATTATCAGGCTGCTCCAAACTTATGAACAGCTAATAATAACTTTAGAGACTGATCCTGACAGCATGTCAGAATCAGATCTCACTAAAGGTCTTTGATCGTTCCTAGACGATCAAAACTGATACATTTCACTCAAGAGATACATTTGTATCTAGTGGTTGAAATGTATCATTTAACATCGGGCCAGGCTATACAGCTGTCAAAAAGAATAGCAGAGAGGGGAGTCACTGCTACCTCTCTGCTTTCTTCAGCTGTCAGATACGGGATCGCTATTTAGCGAACCCGTATCTGAAGGTAAAGGCTTCATTCTTTCATTAATGCTTTTAAAAAAGCTTAACTATTTCATGAATGAATGCCTCAATAGTGAGGCATTCATTAAATGACTGGAACTGCTTAGAATCAGCAGTTACCAGCATTACAGAGGCTAATATAACTCGGCGCGTACAGTGTACGTGGCCAGTCATATAGCCACTTTGTGACGGGACGTACACTGTACGTCTCCCATCACGAAGGGGTTAAGGAACTTTCCCAATCTGATTTCTTAAGTTCTAAGATCTTTGTGTCTTACCTATATTTTACTCTTCCAGCAATCTCAAAGGTGCCTGGTTTTGGCCTTTTAGGCTTGATTTCTAGTGGGAATTGCTTTGTTACTGGTCATGGTGTTGGGCTCTACTAGGTGGGCCCTGTCCTTGTTGGGCTTTGCTGTATAGTTTCCAGTTGTCTGGGAATTTTTATGACCACTCTAGGCATCACGCAAGGGACTTTAGTGCTCCTTGGCTTTGCTATGGTGATGGCTTGTTTCTCAGTTTTGATCTCTGTGGTGCCTTTCTGCTAAGTTTGGTTGCCATTGAACTCTCCAATTCCCTACTTGATTTGTGTACAAAAGCCTCTCCTCAGAGGGGGAGTAATGTTAGGTTCATTTCTAATGCTCCTGCACTTTTTGCAGCTGCCCAGCACCTTCTGGTGGTTGCTTGCTGCCACTGCAGCTTTCCCAGACTTCTCTCTCAGCTTTGGGCTAATGGGCCTGGCCATAAACCCTCAGCACCTTTCCCTGACTACTTTGACCTCAGCCTAGGGATTGGTTAGTGGAGCTTTATTTAAGCACCACAAGCCCAGGGCTCTGGTAGGTGCATTTGCCTGAAGGGAAAGGCGGTTGCTATAGGTTAAGTCACTCGCTACTATTTACTCTGACTGTGAATGTCTGTATCTGGTCCTGACAACTCTTTTCTTTCCACAGATCATACAGTGTTCTCTCCCACTTTGTGGGATAATGCCTATTCATGTTGAGTAGAGAATGTAAAGAAAAATAAGTTAAAAAAATAAATTGTTTGAACTAATTGAGTACCAAATTATAACATATCTGTATTAATTAATATCAATGAAAACTTCTTAAATTTTTTTTCATTTCAGATGACAAAGTACAAACCATAATAACACAAAGGAAAGTATTGTTTGCCGCAATGCATTCTTTAAGCTCCTAACATTCTGAGGACTGATGCCAAGAATGTGCAATAATGGTCAGTTGAATATTTACAACAATGCCCTAGATTTGTCAAATACTGGGAACACACTTGCTAAACATGCTTCCAATCATTGCTGACACATTCTTCAGTGTTCTTTTTCAAGGGTAACCATCGTTTGGTTGTAACTAAAGATTAAGTCCTATTTAAAATAACACTGGTGCATTTCATTTATAATAGGAAGATGCAAAAATGTATCTCTTCAGTATTTATTTATATAACGGTATTTGTAAGCTTTATGTGATTATTTATATTTTGTTTTTAAGACTTTTTTATTAAATTAGAAAAAAAATCTTATGTCTCAATGCCTAATATTATTATTATCATTATTATTATTGTTATTAAAATTATTGAATTTAGTCTATAAAAGGAGAGTTCCTTTATGGAATGTCTATCAATATGTTCGTCAACCAAAAATAATGTTACCTATATGCAAAGACCTTTTGACACCAACGATGATTGAAATAATGTTAGAAGATATTAATTGGATGTGGACGTTAGGAGGTGTTTTTATACATATAAGGAACATATATATAATCCATATATATGTGTAACTCTTATAGCTCTTGTGAATATGTCTCCTGTTATATATTGATGGTAAATGTTAACATTCCTATACTGGTCAGGGCAGTCATGTTATACATTAGTACTTAGTGCAAACACTCACTGGGTATAATTTACGGGTCTGTGCCCTGTCACAGTATGCAATCCAGGAGGTCAGTGCAAATGTAGCTCTGTGTTACATTGCTGGTAAGTGCAAACATAGTCCTATAAGTTGGTGGCCAGTGCCAATAAAATCCTGATATGCATTAGTGGTTGGTACAAATTTAGCCTTGATGTGCATTGATGGTGAGTGAAAAACGTGTGCTACTTACAGGGTACATCTCTTCAAATTCATATTGTTGGGGTGCAACAGAGTGTTTATTACACCAGGAAGCTCTTCTACATGTAGCTGCCAGCAAAAAGCTGATGCCTGAGTACAGGGGCGTAACTAGAAATCACAGGGCCCCATAGCAAAATTTTGTAAGGGCCCCCCCTGCAACCTGACACCACATCCAACCCCCCCGCCCAAAAAAAATGCTAGGAATTACATACACAAATTCACCTTCTCTCCTGTCATTCCAGATTGTTTTCGGGCAGGGAGTGAATTCCAGATACACTCCCTGCCCGCAAACAATAATGCATGCACAATTTTTTGTGATTGCACCACACTTGAACACAGGGCATTGTGTTACCATGCGTTCTGGTGCAGCTGATGACATGAATTGTGCATGCACTATTTTTTGCGGGCAGGATGTGTGTCTAAAATTCGAATTACATGAATGGCACTGCCCCCTCCCACCCCAGAACGCAAGGAGACTTTGTGTATGCGATTCCTTGCATTCCGGGCAAGGGTATAAACGAGCCTTTGAGATTACAGCAGTCAGAGGAGCCACAGTGTAAATAGAAGACAATTACAGCAATGTATGTCCAGGTATAAAAGTGTTTTAGGGCTTATTCACACAAATTACAGTGTGTTCCAGAGCGGTAGCTACTGGAACACACTATATTGCACACTTAACCCCTCCTGTGTTCTGGGGAGTGAGGGCGTGGTGGTACATTGAAGACAATGGCACCGCAGCCACGCCCCCCATCAGCAGTGTAATCACCCACACCGGTGTTCTATCAAAGATTGTGACTGGGTTGGATTGTGTGACCGTTCACGTGGTTACACATTTTAACGTAACCACACCCAGTTTTTCGGCATTGAAATATGTGACTAGCAAAAGGTGAAGAATTCCAATGCTTTGTCAGCTGGTCCAGGGCAGAACAGCTGATCGGTCCTGAAATGCCACTTCTATTGGAATTTGTGGAATGTGAGATCGCAATCACAAAGTCTGATAAAAGTGACATTTCAGGACCGGTCAGCTGTTCCAGGGCAGATCAGTTCTCCTTTTCCCCCCTCCCCTCGACGAGCAGCAGACAGACCCCCCCCACACACACACATGCAGCAGATCTCCTTACATTTCTTCGCAGCGCAGCCCGGCCTGGCACCCCTCGCCCTTCACATCGCTGTGCACGGGGCAGCCACTGTGTGTGCTCCTACTCCGGGACCCGGCTGGGAAGCTTACAATCTTGCTCCTGACCAGGCCCCCTCTCTGTTGCGGGCCCCATAGCGCCGGCATGGGTCGCTATGGCGGTAGTTCCACCACTGCCTGAGTAGCTGCTATATCAGACAAACTATACTGGCCTGGTTTGGTACATAAATCTGTGAAAAAGAAGTTCGCCTTTCCGAAACCTAGGCCAGAATATGGATTGCACCATTTGACAGCAATAGGGGGACACTGCAGCTTGGGGTAATCTGTTAAGTACATACCTGAATCATTCCCTGAAAGTCCACTTTGAGTCCCCCACCTCCTCCAGCCCCATGACAGTAGTTACTTTCCGAACACTTAACCTTACCATTCTTCCCTTAACACTTGAACCTAACGCTTAAACTTAAACTAAACCCCAATCATTGCACTAACATAACTTATGCCCTAAACTAAGCCTTTATGCACTATATAGCCTTAATCTACATGCCAAAAGCAGTCACACTAAATCTGCACAGCTCTTCACCAATGAATATCAGCAACAAGCTTCAAGTATCTAGAAATACTGATTCCCATTTTACGCATGCCAGCCTTTAATCTAGAAACCACAAGCATCACAGACTGACAGTATAAGACTTCAGTCTACTAATGCCCTTATACTATAGCTTACATTAGTACAGAAGAATATCCTGCTGCAATCAGGAAATTGGAATTGTTGTAGGGTAAACCAGCAACCATGGACAAATATTTTATTGTAAAAGGGCAAGTGTTTTCCATAAAAATTCCTAGTATCATAGGAACATCAAATTCTCAGGAAAATTGTTTGCTTACCTGTTGGAGATCCAATGTAATTGTCACATAATGGTATTGCACCCCATTTTTAATGCTTGGACTTTGCCACCATGATTTCTTACCATTGATAGCATGAGAAATTGGATAATGTACTGTAAAAGAAGAGAAAAAGAAAGTGTAACTTGCCATATGCATATTACATCAGATGGGAAATGAAATATTCAGTTCGTTTTGTTCATCTGCATAATTAAGAATTAAGACTTGTAATTCAGCTATTTGCTGAAGATTCCTTTTATTAGAATTGGCTAATTTACTGTGCAGAGAAACTGCTGAAAATACAAGAGACTAAATTAATATTAATATTTTTAAATTAATATTTACAACTTTTTTGTTGTAAATATAATTTCTAAATTAATATTTACAACTTTTTTTTATTAGGCCATTCTTCTTCAGGCTAGCGGCAATTCATTCTTGTTACAGGATAGACTAATAAGTAGCAATTCTGATATTGACTGGCTTGAAGTGGATACATTACATTTTTAATATTAGTCCTGGTACACTAGTTATGGCCATATTACTTGATTGTGATGCCCTAAATAAGACTCCTTATTCTGCTTAAGGCCACAAACTACAATCCGTGCTTGCATTCACTCATTATTAGGGCACATATCATAATTGCCAAGTAAATATTTCTGTTTTTTTTTTGCAACTCCCATAATTGTGATGAGTTTTCTTTACTTTTGTGTATTGCAATATATTAAAATCTTCTTTATTGAGGCAGGCTGTGCCACTATATGCTATCCTCCTTAAAAAAAGATATGCCATCAGAAATAAAACAGTGAAAAAAACTCTGTAAGTTAAAGAAGAACTATGGGGTCAGGGCTTTTCCCCATAGTTCTCCTTAGGGTAATGGGAGGACACAAACTAGCGTCCTCCCATTACCCTAAGCTCAGTATACCGTGAGCTACAGGTCGCGGTATACTGAGACGCCGCAGCCGATCCCGACATTGATGTCGAGATCCGCCCAGCTGCGTGAGTGACAGCTGGCTCTGCCTATCTAGAGGCAGAGCCAGCTGTACCCTCCCCCCGTCCGTTCTGCCAGTCAGCGCTGGCAGATCGGAGCGGGGGGAATCCAGCCCCTCCCCTGTCATGGCAGAGAGCCGTGACAGGATCGAGAGGTGAGTGAACGCCGGTATATGTTCGCTCACCTCCCGATCTACTGAGCCAACCTGTGACAGTATCATTGTCACAGGTCGGCTAGAACTATGAGGTGAGTGAAAAGCACTCACCTCATAGTTCTCCTTTAAGAGCAAAGCCCCCATATTTAAAGTACATTATCCTTTTTAAAATTGAATAACCAATATGGAGGCCATCTGTTTGTGTGGCCCGTGTATTTTAATGTCTATTTACACTTTTCTCTTCTTGTGTGTTGTGTTAATAAATCCCTGTTATTAAGGTGGTCCATTAATTTTCAACAGGTGGCCAACATGGGCATCCCTAAAATTCTCGCCACCTGAAGTAGGGGTGTGTAGGATTTTGTGTGTGGTCAGTGCAGTTCTGGGGGAGGGGGCGGTGTGATGACTGTGCAGGACTGGGTGTGTGGCAGGTGCTGGCGGTGCAGGTCCGACACCAGCCAGAGCGTCACATGTTACTAAGAGCTCTTAGCAACCTGTGAAACTCTGGCTGTAAAGGGCCCATGTGACCCAATAAGATGCCGTCTGAGGCAACCATCTCAAGCTGCCTAATTATAGGGACAGCAGTGGCAGCTGAAGTACTACAACGAATAAAAAGTGCATGCAGCATTTTTACCAATGCAGAGCATACTGTAGTAGTGCATTACCATACATTGTGGTGCTCTGCAATGCAAGTGCTCCGGAGCTGCATAGTCTTAGTGAGTTGGGGTGCAATTTAAAATTACACCTGTATGCATGTAACACACAGTACCTCAACAAACTGCAACACAAAAGTGTGAGTCAGTCCCAAATCTTTGACCACTCATGTCCCACCACTATATTTGTCATGGCATAATTTTGAGCTGCTTTTAGCATGCAGCATTCATGTATGTGCAATTCACTTCCCTGAGTATCAGTTTTAATTTGCTGCCTTGAAGAGATGATTATGCTTGATTGCATTTTTCATGTACAAAGACAGGCCACATTAAAACCTAACTGAACAATGAGTTTAAATAAGCTCAACATACTCCAGGTGCATTAAAACAAAAGGTAATCAAAGTCTTACAGTTATTTTTTTTTTTATAAAAAGCATGTCCTTTGCCAGCATTCTGGAGAGAAAGACCCTTGATTTCTATGTAGATGGAAGGGTCACTCTGCAGAGGTCTGTCACAAAGTCTACAAGTCAGACCTATAGCTCTACATTCAGCAGAGCTCACGACCTCTGCTGATTGGAAAGCTCTAGGTCTGACTAAGCAGGGGTTATTATGAACAAACTGTAAGTCTTTGAACACCCTTTGTTTTAATGTGTTTAGCTAATTTAAACCTAAACTCAAGACACAATAACTTTCATTTAAATGTATTCCTCAATAGCCACAGAAGATATAAATCCACTGTGGGTGCACCAAATGACTTTGCAAATATACTGTATGTATTACTTTGAACAATTAACAGTAACATCATCACTGTCCTGCACATAATCTGTACAGAGATCAGAGCTGTTTGAGGGACCTAACAGGCTCACTCACTACAGGTTGCCTGCATAAAACTACAGGAGAGGGCATATACAAGAACAATCACCCTGAACGAGGAGAGAAAGCAGCAGTGACTATCTTTTTTACAGGAAGCTTCAGCATAACTGCAAAGTTTCACACTGGAATACTGCACAGATCTGGAACGTATATGCAAAGCAGCACACCAAGACTGAATTAATATATTGATAATAATACAAACATCATTATTTAACCCTTTCCCTGCCACCAACATAAGGCTTAGGGTAAAACATAACCGCTTGCATCTGGCCACGTCAGCAAGACTTTCACCTTTCTGCAACAAGCTCAATGTCGCTTTAGTAACATGAACTTATATCAGAATGGTTCCCCCGACCATCCCCTGTAAAATAATAGCTGTCACCAGTGGTTGAAAAGCTGCTGATGAGAGCTATTAACAAAAATTCACAGCCACCGTCCGGCAACTGTCAGCTTCTCCTCCCCGGCTGGAGCCGCTCCAGGCTGGGATCTACTTGTCCTCGGATCTGTGAAGAAATGGCCCGCAGGGAGGTGTAGGAGTGAACCCCTGATCAGGATGGTGAGGTGAGGAGAACAGAGCCACTGACTGTCACTTTCACTATGGACGGCGGCTCTGTGATCTGTGCGTGGCCCAGAGGCTCAGGATGGCCGAGCGGAGGATCAGTAAATATCTGTGATATGTGTGATTGCTGATAACTCCAGTGTTTATAAACAACTGGGGACACATAATACTATGTGCCTCCAGTTATGAATGAACAGGAAGTGCTTTATATCACTTCCTGTTCATACATGAGTTTCTAAATGGGCAGAAGCACTCACTAGAGAAATAGAGGTAATAGTAAATATTTGCTATCATCAATTTGTGAATGAATAGGAAGCCTCTGTACTGTGCTTTCCATTAATTCAGTGCTTTAGCTGCAGAAAAAGAGATTGAGGACTCTGTGTTCTCAATTTCTTTTTCTATTTCAGAAAGGAAATGCCAGGGGTCGATTTAGACCCCTGATATTTCCCTGGAAGCCCCCGCTCCCCCCCCCCAACAGTAAAAAAAAAAGGAAAAAAATTATATAAAAAAACCCTTCCCCCCACACATGGATAACATACATGTGCACCATATTGTGGTGTATACACTGCACGTGTGCTGCAATGCGTTGTTAAAACGTTTTCTTTTTAAAATGACATTAATTCAACTGTGTGGCAGCGCATGGCAAAGCGCTGTGACTCATTGCCGTGCATTGTGATACATTGTGTTGCGATTAAATGTACACCTGTAGCATTGTATCACAACACACACACCAACACAGTGCACAAATGATTTTTAACATAAGTTGCTTATTTACAGTTTTGTGTCCTTTATAATGTTTTGCAAAAAGGCGCAATTTTAAATTTACAAATATTTGTTATTTATTAACTCAATACAGTTTTATCTTTTAAATTAAGTTGGAAAATAATTTTTTGTGCACTTATACTGATTTTAGTGTGCTTTTATCAATTTAATTGTGTATTTTTATCAGCTTAATATTGATTTGACAGACATTTGCACAATTATTGCAGGACCTGCAAAATTAGTAGCACCATCTTTTTATCCTACCGGGCCTGTGCTTTCAGAAAATATATGATTTGTTGAGTCTTTTAGAAACACTAGCAATACAGCAGTAGAAGATCAAAATAATGGGAAAAATTGCAAAAATGCTTGGCAGCGGAAGGGTTAAACTTTTGGGATCGGTATGCTTATAATTAAATTTCCATCTATACGCCCAAATTAAAAAAAATTTAAAATCTGAACTCCAGGAAAAGCCTAAATATCTAAAAATCCTGCATATTCTTATTATTCTTGGCATGCTTTACCTGATAATGCATTGAACTAGAATATGTTTAAAAAGTGTAAAACTAAAACTATGAAAAGGTGTTTGGTCCAATAAAAGTTTCTTTTAAAGTATTATTCATTGTATTTCTTGGTTCTCATAAACACATTAATACATCATGGATAATGTGCCTACTTTTGGTGGACAGTGTAGCGTGCTTTCAGTTTTGCTCTGTTATCTGGCGTGTAAAAAAAAATGCCTTTGAATACATGCCAGCAGTATAAATATCTAAAATAAGCACATTACATTTTTTATTAGCATAGGAATAAATGTATCCAAAGTTGGCTTGTTTGAAAACAAAACACAGCAGCCAAAAGCAATGAGCATGATAAATCCAATCCCATTCCGATTTTCATTCCAACCTTCTCAGGTCAAATGGATGGTAGATTTAGTAATGAAAAATAGTAGATGAATGAACAATTAATTGTAATCCTCATTATGAAGGCTTAATCCTAATTAATTTGAGGCTCTGAAACACTGCTGGCATTTGAAGTGAAGTAGAAATTATATCTTCCATAAGGACAATGTTGAGACGTTAATGTGTGTAATGTGGTTTGTAATGTATCCTTCATTAACTCTTGGCATGGCTGCT